TGTATTAGAAATTAAAATACTCAGTGATATATGTTAATTCACTTGATTTAATCATTTTACAATGTATGCATATCAAAGCATCATGCTGCATACTTAATTATATGCAATTTTGTCAATTTTTCCTTAATACAGTTGGGTGGAAAATAAAAGTAGAAAAAGAGGTTCACTGCCTGCTGCGTAAGCACAAGGACCCGAGTTCGACACCTGGTAACAAAAAAAGAAAAAAAGAAAAATTCTCAATGGCAAAACCATGTTATAGACTTTTTGTTAAAAGGTATCAGAGCTGGGGATTTAGCTCAGTGGTGCCGCGGCCTGCCTCGAAAGTGCAATGACCCAAGTTTGATCCTCAGTACCCCCCAAATAAATAAATAAATAAGTGTCAGAAAAAAAAAAAAGGTGGCAAAAACAATGCTTCTCTTTCTGTCTTTTTTTCCTTCAGTGCTGAGACTGAAGCCAGGACCTAAGGACATGCTAAGCACACACTCTACCAGTGAGCTACACCCCTACTCCAAAAAATGAATTTTTGGTTAAGAATAGCCAGTATTTACTGAGCACTTATGTCAACTGCTGTGCCCCATAGTTTAACGCCTTATCTTACTGAATATTAACAACATCTGATGAAAGAGATACTGTTATTATTCTCATTATCTCATTAACAAACAAAGGTTCAAGACTGGTTAAGTAACTTGCCTAGGGTCACAAAGTTAATCTATAAGGGAGCCAGCGTTTGAAGGGAGGGGTGCCTGACTCGATTTAACCACTATGATATAAGGTCTCAAGTTGAACCCAAGAACGCACCTTGCTAATGAGCAAAGATGGTGACTGAGGTGAAACTTTCTGTTCTATAATAGCAGACCTTACCCTTAATGCAATGCCAGGTACACTATGGCAGCTCAACACATGCAGAATGAAAGAGTACCAAAGGAGAATATTTCTCTTGTAGACCTATAATCTACTTGGAATAGAAAAATTAAAAACAAGTAATAGTGTATTATGTAGACATGCCAAGCAAAGACAAAATGAAAAAGAGAACAGTAGTTCATCAGGAAGAGAATTTCTGTGGAAAAAAACGTTAATGGTTCTGGGCCGGGGACTTAGCTCAGTGGTGCTGCCACCTGCCTTGCAAGTACAAGATCTTGAGTTCAATCCCTGATACAAAAAGTAAAAACAAAAACAAAACAACGTTAATGGTTCCTTGATGCCTACACATTTACTGGTCTGGGGAATAATAAGGATATAAAGAAATCTAAGACATTGATGACCCTCATAATAATGAAGGATATTAAATGCACATTACACAATCAGTAAAAAGGAAGAAAGTCCAAAAGGATATGCTACTGACAATACAGAGCCTAGAGAGCATGGCAGAACAGAGATCAGTGGAAACTGATCCCAGAATAGAGGAAAGGCTTCTCTGAAACTGTGACATGAAGGTTGGAACAAATTATTATTATTTTTTGAGACAGGGTCTTGCCCAGGCTGGCCTTAAACTTGTTGCAATCCTCTTGCCTCAGCCTCTTTCAATACTGAGATCACAGGCATGTGCCAGCATGCCCGGCCAAAACAAATGATTCTTAAGACAGAAAGATGGTTGAAACTGTGATGTCCAATGTAAAGATTCAGGCAAACATCTCCTATATATATTTTTTCCCTATATATATTTTAAAGAAATTAATTACGTACCATAGCAATTCTCATTTATTTGCATAAAAATAAGTATGGGCTAAGTATTTGGGGGAGAAACTAAGGCACAGAAATTAAGTAACCTGGGGCTGGGGATTTAGCTCAGTGGTTCTGGTGCCTGCCTTGCAAGCACAAGGTCCTGAGTTCGATCCCCGGTATCCCCCCACCAAAAAAAAAAAGAAAAGAAATTAAGTAACCTGCTTCACAGTTTTAAAGAAAAAAAAAGTATTGGGCCACGGATTTAGCTCAGTGGCACTGAACCTGCCTCTCAAGTGTAAGGTCCTAAGTTCGATCCCTGGTACCAAAATAAAATCTTTACAGAAGAAAGAAAAAGTATCAATATCCAGTATTGATACAACCTGGAACTGCATTTCTGAAAGAGCTGGAGTAATGGACACTAACATCGTCACAGCTTAGAGATCTATCTGGTTGGAAACCTTTGGGCAGAAGCTTCTGAGAGGTTAGGAATAATCGCTTAGAACTGAGACCTTTTAGAGAAAGCTGAGACAGCCAAACCACTCTACTGAGATAATACTTTTGAGAAACAGCTATATTCCACATGAAGATAAATAAAAGCACCCACTGCTCACGAGACTCCACAGAGGTACACTGTGGGAGACCAGATAGGAAGACTGGGGCCTAACTGGCCTCCTCAGTGAGCGCTAAGTAGAAAGACAGCATGCAAGCATGCTGACACGCTACAGGGAAAAATAAAAACAGCTGAGATTCTGTCGTTTACCCAGACAAGTACCATGGAGGGTAGAACATGGATGAATCCTGTGTACCCGTGTCTGAATGAATAAAGCCTGGGTGTGCCAGTCACTCGGGGCTCTGTGTCAAAGGGAGACAAGAGCTCCTGGCCCTCCACATTTTAACCTGATTCTGTGTCTTTACTTTTCATCCTCATCCCCTCTTGGTTCAGGCTGATAGGCAGGTTCCTACAGGTGGCGCCAGAACAGGGATTTGATAAGGAAGTCCGTGAGGAGGGGGTGTGGCCAGTCAGCCACAGGGATGGTGCTGGCCAGCAAAAGAGAATGACAAAGGGCCACAGATTTAGCTCAGTGGTTCCAGCGCCTGCCTCACAAGCGCAAGGTCCCAAATTCGATCTCCGGTACCAAAAAAAAAAACCAAAAAACAAAAAAAAAAGAGAATGACAAAAAGAAAAGAAAAAGAAAAAGGAACAAGAGTACATTCAGTAGAGTCAGCCAGGGTAATGGGGCAGAACCCATGCACTGAGGTACAACATTATATCCCTTTGTTGAAAATTCCATTGCACCAGTCTGGTACTCATTAGTTCCCAGTTGATTTCTCTTAAGTTGCAAGATGTTATCAAACATAATCCTTGGTTTCCTGATACAGGTACAGTTGATGGAGAGTTGGGATCCAGTAAGAGAGGGTTTGGAGCATGCTTGTACCCAGGGCTCTGCTATATCCCCTAAAACTTTCTCCACATGGAGCCTGGTCCATGTAGTTCTTTGCCCTTTAACTGCAGAGAAATATCCTACACCTAGTGCACCCTTGAGAAAAGATGAAGATAAGGGTGAAGAACCCTAGTCCCCTCTCTTCCTTCTCCCAAAGTACACCTCTCTGGAGTAAACAGATTCAAGGTCAACAGCAAAAGCTTTTCAAATTCCAATTCCATTTGTTAGCACGCCTAGGCCAGACTACCAATACATTCAGTAAAGAACACAAGAGACCCCAAAATGCCAATACCGTACTGTATTCAGACTATCTTCCAGACCGTCCCAAAACTGAATAATTTAAGAGGATTATTCCATTTTCATTATTCCATTAATATGGCCCAAGAATGTGCTTCACAGCCATCTGTACTCTGAAAGGAACCCACATTTGGAGAAACAGGAGCAAAAAATTATAAGGTCATCTGAGGTTAACTACAAATCAGAGCACATCAGGAATGGAATGAGAAATTTTCTTAGGAGTGTATATCTCGGCATTTCAAAGAAGGCTGCTACTTAGAATGTGCCTTCCAGCACTACAGGAAAGTTCAAGCCAGACAGGCCTGTAATCCCAGTAGCTGGAAGGCTGAGGCAGGAGGCTAGAGTTCCAGCCCAACCTAGGCAATTTAGACCCTAAATGAAAAAAAAAAAAGCCAGGGAAAAAAACCAAACAAACAAACAAACAAATCTAGGGATGTAGCTCAGTGCAAAGCTCCTTGGGTTCAATCCCAGTAAGTAAGCCCGATTGAAGGAAGAAAAGAGAAAAAAAGAAAATCTTACTTCCAGGTGAAGGAAGTGACACTGGATAAGATGGGGAATAAATATTTACTTGCTTTTCTGGGTGTTTAGGGGACAGCTATGAGCAAGACCAAAAGAGCAGGGGAAAACACAGGAAGGGAAAAGAATGTCGCCTGTTAGGAGGGCTGTGACAATAAAGACACTTCTTCAAGCTATTAAGTGGAAGATGGGGACGAGGTTCTAGCTGTCGGATCGCAGAGCCTCCGATCTGAATCCTCACTTCATCATGGGACTACCTAGGCACTGGCTTTCTGAGTCATCTTGTAATAGAAGGCGCCTCTCGGGATTTGGGAGAATTAAATGAGAAAACGCCTGGAAAGCGCTCCTCCGGGATTCGGCGCTCCTGAGCGCTCTCAGAGAGCGATGTCTTTTCAATAATTCATCTTCATGTCCCTAAAGCCAGAACTGAGCCTGGAGTCTCTCAGAGGATGTGGGCAAGTCCTATGACTGAATCCATGCATGAGAAAGGAAACATGGAGAGGGGCGCAGAAGGGCAGACATCGCAGGGACCGGAGCAGGATTCCCGGTCTGAGCCGCGGAGAGGAGCTGGGGTGCAGGGAGACCACCGATCGCCCGGCGGGACGCGGGGAAGCTGCGCGGGGACCGGGTCGGCGAGGAGGTGCCGGTGGGGAGCCTGCGGACTAGGTGAGGGAGGAGGGATATCAAGGGACCCGGGTGGGCAGCCGGGAGGCCGGCGCCGAGGGAAGTGGACAGCACGGGCCCCTCGGGACAAGTGCCCTCGGAGCCCCGTGCGCGGACCGTTTGGATGGAACCACCTTGTGTCCTGGCGCCCGTGATCTCGGCCAGCGCTAGTCCCACCACTGCCGCGACATCCAGCTCCCCACTCCCTCCCGGCCCCCACTCTCCCTGCACCCCACGCCTCCCAGCCTCCCGGGCCAACTCGGCCCGCTCCGCACCTCACAGAGAACCTGCCGGCGTCCGCCGCCATCTTCCTGCGCGCGCGCACCCTAGCCCCGCCCCTAACGTCACGCCCACGTGACCGCGCGGAGCTGGGCCTGTGGGCCTGGTTCTGGTCACGTGGTGGCGGCGGGGAGCCGGGCCAAGATGGCGCTGCTCAGGGAGGTGAGGCGTCCGCAGCGGGGGCGGTGGGTGCTGTGAAGAGCGCGGAGGAGTGGCGACGTCTGCACTGTCGGTTGCAGGTGGTGGAGGGTGAAGGCTCCAGCTCTTGGACCGCAGTGAATGAACTGCAGCAGCTCTCCCTCCTCGAAGCTGGAGAAGGTTGCTGCTTTTCGGGTCCGCTTGGCGGGGTGAGGAGCCCAGAGGCCGAGGCGTTTCTAGTCACCCGGCTTCCCCAGAGCCCTAGGCCTGGAGACATGACCCGAGAGTGCCCGGGCCCAGCCCGGGAGCCCGGGGCGCCGCCGAGCGGGCCGGTGCTGGCCGAGGCTGCGGTAGTGTTCGCAGTGGTGCTGAGCATCCACGCCGCCGTGTGGGACCGGTACTCGTGGTGCGCCGTGGCCCTCGCAGTGCAGGCCTTCTACGTTCAGTACAAGTGGGACCGGCTGCTGCAGCAGGGCAACGCCGTCTTCCAGTTCCGGATGTCTGCAAACAGCGGCCTGCTGCCCGCCTCCATGGTCATGCCTTTGCTCGGACTGGTCATGAAGGAGCGCTGCCAGGCTGAGGGGAACCAACACTTCGAACGCTTTGGCGTCGTGGTAGCAGCCACTGGCATGGCAGTGGCCCTCTTTTCCTCGGTGTTGGCGCTGGGTATCACTCGTCCGATGCCCACCAACACCTGTGCCATCTCGGGTTTGGCCGGAGGTGTCATCATTTATATAATGAAGCACTCACTCAGTGTGGGCGAAGTGATCGAAGTCCTAGAAGTCCTGCTGATCTTTGTTTATCTCAACATGATCCTGCTGTATCTGCTACCCCGCTGCTTCACTCCTGGGGAGGCTCTGCTGGTGTTAGGTGGCATCAGTTTTGTCCTCAACCAACTCATCAAGCGGTCTCTGACTGTGGTAGAAAGCCAGGGGGACCCCGTGGACTTCTTCCTGCTGGTGGTGGTGGTAGGGATGGTGCTCATGGGTATCTTCTTCAGCACCCTCTTTGTCTTCATGGACTCTGGAACCTGGGCCTCCTCCATCTTCTTCCACCTCATGACCTGTGTGCTGGGTCTTGGCATAGCCCTGCCTTGGCTGCACTGGCTCATCCACAGGAACCCCCTGCTGTGGCTTCTTCATTTCCTCTTCCGAACAGAAACCCGCATCTACCTCCTAGTCTATTGGTCTCTGCTGGCCATCTTTGCCTGCCTGGTGGTGCTGTACCAGAATGCCAAGCGGTCATCTTCCGAGTCTAAAAAGCACCGGCCCCCTGCCATCACCAGGAAGTATTTTCACTTCATCGTGGTAGCCACGTACATCCCAGGAATTATGTTTGACCAGCCACTGCTCTATGTGGCCGCCACAGTATGCCTAGCAGTCTTCATCTTCCTGGAGTACGTGCGCTACTTCCGCATCAAGCCCTTGGGTCACACTCTGCGGAGCCTCCTGTCCCTATTCCTGGATGAACGAGACAGTGGGCCACTCATCCTGACACACATCTATCTGCTCCTGGGCATGTCTCTTCCCATTTGGCTCATCCCCAGACCTTGCACACAGAAGGGCAGCCTCGGGGGAGCAAGGGCCCTGGTGCCCTATGCCGGGGTCCTGGCCGTGGGTGTGGGAGATACTGTGGCCTCCATTTTCGGCAGCACCGTGGGGGAGATCCGCTGGCCTGGAACCAAGAAGACTTTTGAGGGGACCATGACGTCTATATTTGCACAGATCATTTCTGTAGCTCTGATCTTGATCTTTGACAGTGGAGTGGACCTGAACTACAGTTACACCTGGCTTTTGGGGTCCATCAGCGCTGTGTCCCTCCTAGAAGCATACACTTCGCAGATAGACAACCTCCTTTTGCCTCTCTACCTCCTGATATTGCTGATGGCCTAGCTCCCGTGCAGCAGCAGTGAGGGAGGAAACAGGGACATGGGAAGGATGAATGGGGCCCACAGCAGCCTGCCATTTGGGCTCAAAGAGCCAAGGGCAAAAAGCAGGTTTGGTTTCCAGGTGATTCAGACTGAAAATAAAAAGGCAAAGCTCTTCTGATTTTAGTTTTGCTGATATTTAAAAAGAAAAAGATATTTTAAAAGGCCTAAAGGATAAGCACTACTATTTAGATACCTTGGATGTGCTGTGGAACCCCCTTCCCTTTTGTAGTTTTGGGGAGGGGGCTGGAGTGGGGAATGGAGGCAGAGCGTAATGGTTCGTTACATTCTTCACGTTCCACCCAGAATCCCTGGCCACGTAAGTCCTGACCAAGTGACCGTAGATGAAGCAGTTCACCAGTCTGAACCTCAGTTGTCCTACCTGCAAGATAGGACAGCTGACCTGGTGTGACATACCCAGCCTGTGGCCCACCCACCAAGCAGTCAGTAAGAAAAAATATCACTGTTGCCCAAGATGATTCCTGATCTGAGCAAAAAGCCAGGCGGGACAAGGGGTTTGATGGGTTGTACTTGGGAATCAGAGTGACCTTTCCTTTCCTGGCTTGGCTTGAAGGAGGGCTCAGGAAAGAGTGGAGGTGCTGGTTCCACCCACTCAGGCTAGGAATAGCCCAGGCAGCTCAGATCTGGGGCTGAGGGCCCGGTTCAGCCAGCCCACCCCGCCTCTGCCTGGCTGACAGTGCTAATGGAGAAGAATGGACCGAAGGAGCACTGGCTGCCTGTCAACAGTCCCTCCTGAGACCCTTTCGCATTTCCAATGCTGTCCAAACTCCTCTGCTGGCAAAGCCGAGGACAGATACCTGGGACTCCGAGCCTCTCCTCTAGGGGGCACTTGCTCCATCCGGCTCTGGTTCTGAGCCTGCTTCCCCACCACAGCTCCCAGGGTCTGCCCAGAGCCCCAGACACAGGAGCTTGGGAGACCAGCGCTGAGCAGATGAACCTTTGCCACCACTGAAAAGTAGCCCAGCAGACTACCTGAGGTGGGACAGGATTCTCACCTCGCCTGTCAGACCGGGTGAGAACTTTGGCCCAAGAAGGCCAAAAGCCAGGAGCGGAGCTCTAGGGAGCAGGGAGGGAATCCCTGCCAGGTCTTCCCTCAGAGAGAGGAGAGAGGCACGTGCCTTTAGGGCTGGGGGAGACTTAAACCTTTTGTCCCCGGTTTCAGGGGGCCACCAGCTGTTGGAGCCCTGGTTACGCCCACCGACTCCCTGACTGGCCTTGGGAAAGGCCTCTCTGCTCCGGGCCTTACAGGGGGTAGAGGACTAAGCCAGGGCCACCTGCATGGCCACAGAGGCCAGGCAGGTGACACAGGAATGAGGACAGGGAGGTGCACTGGGCTTCTTAAGGTAGCTCCAGCCAGTAGTCATCGTGCCGGAGAGTAGGCCCAGGGTCATCAGTTGCCAGTTGCCTGCTCATTCATGGAAACCTAGATTATCATGTGAAATCTCCCACTTCAAAAGAAACATTTTTGCTGGGCATGGTGGCACACATCTGTAATCCCAGTACTGGGGAGGCTGAGGCAGGAGGATTGTTGTGAGTTCAAGGCCAGCCTGGACTACCAAGTGAGACGCTGTCTCCAAAAAAAAAAATTGCCGAGCATGGTGGTGCACATCTGTAATCCCAGCGCTTGGGAGGCTGAGGCAGGAGGATCACAAGTTTGAGCCCAGCCTGAGCAACATAGTGACTTAGTCTCAAGGGCCAGGGATGTAGCCAGTGTGAAGGCCTTGAGTTCAAGCCCTAGTACTGGAAAAGCGGGAAAAACAAAACAGTTTTGCTAGAGATTGAACCCTGGGCCTCACACATGCTGCTACTGAGTGACACCCTCCAGCCCAAACATCATTTTTCTAACGCTGAGGCCCAGATCAAACGCATCTGCAGTCTGGAATAAGCCAGTAAGAACCCAGCTGGCAACCTCTGGGCCAAGGCTTGGCTAAACAGGTGTGGGATTTGGTAGCCGTTCCAGGTCTGGGTGCCTAGCACATGTGCCCAAGGAGGGGGGGCCCAGGAGCCCCCCATCCAGCTCCCTTGGGCCCTGAGGGAGGGCCTGGCCTGAGGCCCCAGAGCAAGTTGATCACAGCACCAAGACCTGAACCTGGGACTGGATTCCTACCCCAGCAGAGCAAGGGGCAGGGTCGAAGTCAGGCGCTCAGCCTGGAGCGGCTTGGGCAGGTCACTTGCAGGTCCCTTGACTCAGTCCCTTTGACCACAGGGGCAGATAAGACTACCTGCACAGCCACATGCAGCAAGCACTTGGTAAAAGCTACTGGAAGCTATTAAAATCATGTAAACTATGGCCAGGCCTGGTGGTGCACCCTTCTAATCCCAGCACTTGGGAGGCTGAAGCAGGAGGATCGCTGTGTGTTCAAGGCCAGCCTGGGCTACATAGCGAGACACTGAAAAAATAAAAACTAAAATCATCCAGACCAGGCCAGGCAGGGCTGGGGGACAGGGAGGATTCCCAGCAGGCTGTCAGCTGGAGAGCAGGGCTGCTTGGTGAAGAAGGATCCATGGGGAAGCTGCCTTCAGAAATCGCTTTTATTGTCTTACAATGGCATCATCATAGTTGCATGTGAGAGGAGTGAGAATCAGCCTCAAACCCCTTGAGGGGGAGGATGTGCTGAGACATGGGGTGTGAGGGACAGAGATCTCAGGGACCCCACTCAGCTTCCTGTCTGCAGGGCTGAGGGGCACAGGGAGGCGCGGGAGGGGAGACTGACTCCAGTTGCTGCAGCTGCCAGGTGCGTGAGGCCCTGGAGTCTGGGAGGCGACAGCCCCGCCCTGCACAGGCTTTAGGTGTACAGTGGGGGGAAGGGCAGCTCCACTGTGGGCTGGAGCCTGCAGAGAACAGGTGGCCCTGAGAAGCCAGGACCACCGCTCCAGCTGCTCCCTGTGCTCCTCTGGCACACATACCCGCCACCTACCAGTTCTCCGGGCTCCAGACAGTGCCCTCGGCCTCCATGAGGTGGAACGAGTAGGCCTGACGAGAGCGGTCCGAGAGGTTCTGTGGGCTCTTGTGCACCACTTCCCCGTGGATCAGGACCAGGCCGCCTGGCGGGAGGACACCAGCCCTCCAGCTCCCCTTCCTTGGGAAGGGAGGGACATGGGCCCCCTCCCCCGAGCGGTTTTGTGCCCCCCACGCGTGCCCATTCCTGTCCCTGAAAGCTAGGTGCCTGCAGCCTGCCGTGTAGACACTGGGCCCCTGGGATGAAGCACCCCCCACTGTAGCTTGGGCAAGCCTTAGCAAGCTGTCCCCGATGTGGGCAGGACTGGGCAGCAGCTCCACCGAGCTGGACCTCCATGGCCCCTTTTCCACGCGAAGGCTATTAGCCAACAGCTGTGAAGCCCCTGTGACTCCGTGTCCCTAATCACATTCGACACGCCACCTCACTGCCTTCCTCACTGCACATGTGGGGAAACCGAGGCTCAGCATCTGTCATTTGCTCCGAGACCATCCTGTAAGTAGCAAGGTCTGGATTCGGGCCTGATGGAGACAGCTTGCTGATGACCAATTTCCTGGGGCTGCCCCATGTCTCCCGTGCTGTGACTTTGCACACCTCAGGTGACCCTGGGAGGCTGCTGGGTGCTGGGTGAGCACAGACCCCTGAGCACGGCCACCTGCTCCCTGTGCCCCACCTACCTCTCCGTACTGGCACGGGCACAAAGAGGCTGCCATCCCAGCCAGGCTCTGAGCCCAGGTAGCTGGTGCCACCGGGGGCCCGGATGAACCGCCTTGCCACGCCACCTGCCGGCCGAGAGAGGAACTTCAGCCCCTCTTCTCAACGGGTCCCGCTCCCGGGGTGGGCAGGGGGAGACAGATGGGGCCGCACTAGTGTGGGAGCCGGGGATGAACCAGAGACAGCTGTTGTCCAGCGTGGCGTCCTCCAGCGCGATCCACATGCCCACCACGCGGCCCAGCGGCTCCGTGTACAGGAAGGTGGCATCCTGGTGTGGGGTGACTGCAGCGGACCAGCGAGGTGGGGAGCTCATCCTTTGCCGGGCCCCTCCTCGCCTGCTCTCCTGCTTCGTGTCCTCCCTCCAGGCCCACCTTCCCCGTATCAGGGTCACATCAGTGTCCTCCCCAACTCGGCCAGCTTCCGTTTCCTGAACTGTAAAGTGGCCCCAATCTGCCCCACCCCAGAGGGCTGTGCCAGTCCGTCACCCGCTTGGTACAGAGCCTGACACCAACTGCTAAACGTGGCTGCTGTTATTTGACCTCCGCCGGGTAACTAAAGACACTGGTTTTTGTCTGTCAGGCCGGCGCAGGGGATGGAACCCAGGCCCCACACATGCTAGACAGGTGATCCGCCACAGCCACCGCCCCTGCCCTTGAGCCTCCACTCTTACCAGGGACCACAGACCAGCCAGCAGGTAGCCTGGCTGGCGGCAGAGATTGGGAGGTGGGTGGGCAACAGGGGAACTGCGACCCCGAATAGCTCCATTTTCACAGACCTCCCTGTATGATGTTGGGGTGCAGCCAGGATGGAGAACCACGGACTAAGGAACTTAGTCCACAGGAACAAAGCAGGGGTGGGGCTGTTGTGACCTCCTCCCTTCCCTGACAACTGTTTTTTTTGAGACAGGGTCTGGGTATGTAGCGCAGGCTGGCCTTGAACTTACTCAACTCGCTCTTAACTGTGTGTTTTCTAAACACTGCACTGTGAGAAACTGGACGGTGTCCAGAAAGCGTGTCCAGTGGCAGGAGGTTCCAAGGGTCGGGGAGAGGACTGGCCAGGGCAGCTGGGGTGCTGGCATTGGGCAGAGCAGGCTCAGGGAGCTTGTGGGCACCCTGGGAGGAGGGGTGCTCACAAGGAGAAAGCTGGCTGCATGGGGGAAGGGAGGAGGCGGGCTCCCTGCAGCCAGAGTCCTGTGAGCAGAAGGTACCAATCAATCAGCCACCAGGAAGTCTGTCAAGGGCATCTGTGTCCAGTAGGGTGTGGACTGGGTCAGCAAGTTACATGGCGAATTAATCTACCAAGGAGCTCTTAAAAATACAATTTTCCAAGCCGGTGTGGTGCCACACGCTTGTAATCCCAGCACTTGGGAGGCTGAGGCAAGAGGATCGCTGAAAGTTTGAGGCCAGGCTGGGCTACATAGCAAGACCCTGTCTG